CAGATGGAAGTTTCTCACTTGGGGTCTCTCAAGAGTTGTCGATGGATGGCAGCTGGGGGTAGTGTCATCTGAAGGGTGGACTGGATTGGACATCCAAGATGGCTCATCACATGGCAGATGATGTTGGTTTTGGCCAGAAGCTCAGCCAAGGCTGTCAACCTCCATGATCTCCCTAATTGCTTGGGTTTCTCATAGCCAAAACATTTTAAAAAAGAATGTCTTAGGAGTAAATGTCTCAAATGATCAAGAGCTGTTTTATGACCTGTTTTCAGAATGTTACTCCCACCATACTCTGTTGGTTAAATAAGGCATCAAGGTCAGTCCGGATGAAAAGGGAGGGAGGTGCCCCCTTTCCATGGAGGAAGCAATCCCTGCATACAATGAAGAAAGCACTGATGGGGCCATATATGGGGACTGACTACCATAGGGAGGGAGATTGACTAATATCATGGATGTACATTTTTATCAAACTTGCTGAGCAGCTCAGGGATGGTCTCTGCCTAGCAGCAGATCAGGCTGGTTGGGAGTGGATGCCTTTGACCAAGTAGGATGAGCTAGGTTCCTTGTAACTCTTTACTCATGTGCCTGTTGCCCAGCAGAGAGAGAAAGTCAGACCTATATCATGTGGTGAGGGCAAATCATGAACCCTAATCCTGCAGGCAATGCCAGGTTCTTGTTAGAGCCACTATCTGGCTGATGGCATCTTCCTGGGGACACTTTCCTGGTGGTATTCAGATGACAGTGAAGTGAAGTGAAGTGAAAGTCACTCAGTCGTGCCCGACTCTTGCGACCCATGGACTATACAGTCCATGAAATTCTCCAGGCCAGAATACTGGTATAGCCTTTCCCTTCTCCAGGGGATCTTCCCAACTCAGGGATGGAACCCAGGTCTCCTGCATTGCAGGCTGATTCTTTACCAGCCGAACCACAAGGGAAGCCCAAGAATGCTGGAGTGGTTAGCCTATTTCTTCTCCAGTGGATCTTCCCGACCCAGGAATCAAACTGGGGTCTCCTGCATAGCAGGCAGATTCTTTACCAGCCGAACCACAAGGGAAGCCCAAGAATACTGGAGTGGGTAGCCTATTTCTTCTCCAGTGGATCTTCCCGACCCAGGAATCAAACTGGGGTCTCCTGCATTGCAGGCGGATTCTTTACCAACTGAGCTATCAGGGAAGCCCTGAGATGACAGCGTTCTCTCCAACTGAGATCTGGCAATTTGGGGCTGATTCTTCCTCAGTGATGAGCCCTGGCAATCACTATTTTCTTTATCTAAATTTGACTTCTCAGAATTTTCACTGAGTAGACTTCATGAATATCCTTTAAAAAGGCAGTTTTGTATTGCCCTCTGAACATTCCCTTTCTCATTCTTGGATTTCTAGATCTAACAGTTTGTCTGAGAAGGAGAGAGGATTAAAGCACAATTTCTTACTGTCTATGCTACATTCTGCATCATCCTGCCAATTATTCTATTAATGCCCATGGTTGTCTTCGGCTGGTTTGTCTATAAATCCTACATGGCCGAGACAGTATGTTCATCTCTGTAGAATCCAGACATTATCTGTGATGCCCTCTGCCCTGGGCATTGTAAAGAGTCTGTACCCATTTACTCACGCCCAGGAGAAATCACAGCCCACCTCAGATGAACATGAAGTCCCAAGAAACCCCTGCTGTCTCCCATGCTGCCTCGACTCTTCCACACCGCTTCACCCATCTTCACCAAAAGCCAACTTCACATGAAGTGTTTGAGAGGGTAGAATCCTTTACTGAAGTTGAAGGGTCTTGAGAAGGGGGCACACATTGCACCATCCGGCAGCAGGCAATTTAGAAATCACATATTCAGTATTCCCACATTGAAAAGTCCTCGGACACCTCAGCACTAGGGGTTTTCATGGCTCTGAATGGAGGCTTGCTCTCTCTTGTCTCTCTGCTCCTCTCTCCACCCTCACTTTTCACTGTCCTGAGGTCTCCCCCCCTGGGGACAAAAAGTACATGCATCTCATTTTCTCACGGGGCACAACCTCTCCACTTGTTGTTGAGTCTCTGCTAACACGCCTGCCCTTAGGGCCTGACTCTGCGCCCCAAGTGACATTGATGTCCTTTGCCAACGAGGAGGAATCCTGGAGCCGGGAGGTAAGACTGCACGTTATTCACCTCGCTACGTGGTATCTGGAGAGACTTTCTTACTTAGAAGATGGTAGGTCTCAATACTATTTATTAGTTAAACTAAATGAAATGGAAACTGAGAAAAAGATGACCTTTGATTATTTTGCTGGTCACCTTCAGCCTTTGTTTCATGCACAAAGGCTGTTTGATCTCTAGACTGAAGAAGCATGTTGGCGCTGATCCCTGACTCCCTATCACCAGAGGCAGGTTCCCAATCACTGCCAGCATCTGACTGGGTGGGAATGTCCTGCTGGGAGAAGAAAGAGGGCCTCATAGCTTCTCTTCCTTCTCCCTTGAATCTGCTAACTAGCTTGAAGATGAACAGAACAGTGTAGGTGTTAGGTCACATGTTATGATTACAGTAGAAGCCTTAGTTGTAAAAACAGAGGCAGAACCTAGTTGTGGGGGCAGTGAATCCCTTGGGGACAAAGTGCTGATACGTTTGAATAAACCAACAGGCCAGGTAGCCACCATCTTCCAAAACTATCATGCTTTTTGCCTTTTGTTGTTGTTGTTGTTGACTTTCAAGAAAGAAAGAGGAAATCCCAATGTCATCAAGGTGAATTAAATTCACACACTTAACCTCGCTTCCTTTCCCAGATGCCAACAGCATTCCCAACAAAATGGTCACTTTTCCATTCACCCTCCATCTAACCTATACTTTCTGAGTCCCTACTACATGCCAGACATACGACTAGATGCTAAAATAACTGTAAGTCTTATTTAGAAAGAGATCCAGGGGGAGGATGTGGGGTGGCCACTACAGTGTGAGTGGTCACCGAAGACCTTTCTCAGAAAAAGACACCAATGTTGAGTGAGGCTTGAATGAAAAGGGGAGCCAGCCACATGAGGGTTTGTGAAAGTGGTCCAGAAGGAGGGAACAGATAAGAGTCTGGAGTTCAGTGAAATATTAAAAACGAAATAAAACATAGAGTGTAAGAGGCAAATAAATTCCCTACCAGCAGAGGATAAATGTTGAGGAACTTTGGGAACTTATGAAGCAGGTGGACTGGTGACAAAACTGATCGTGGGCCACCTAGGCTTCCAGCAGGGCCATCTGGGAATTAGGTAACTGGGTGTTCCCAGCAGAAGCCTGGGAAAATCCCAAGCCCTGAGCAGCTAGACTGGACGTAGAGGCAGTTGGTAAGTACTGAATGGGGGGACATAGGGGAGAAACTCAGAAATATGAGACACGGGTTCCCTGGGCCGAGAGGGTCTCTAAATAAAAGGGGAACATTTTCTGGCCAGCTTCTCACATGGGAAGTAAAGCCAGAGGGTGGTGCCTGTGTAACCTAGGTGAGGTAGAGCTAATATGGATAGAAAACATCTCAGCAAGGCAGGGAGACTTCTAAAGATGCTGAGGTTTCCTCCTACTTCTCACTGGTTTCTGCAGATCTCTTCGTGTTCCCCTAAGATCCCTCAACAGATAGGAGAAGAGTGGCCTTCTTGGGGTGCGCCGTGGAGAGCAAACTGAATAACTTAAACCCCGTCAGGGCCTGAAGCAGAGTGCCTCACCTGGCTGCAGGAACATCAGGCTAAGGAAAGGTTGGGCTTTCAGATCAGGCCTGTACATTAGCATAAAATTAAAAAAACAAACAGTGCACCACTGCCGGAAATTATTACTTAAGTGACCTAGAGAGGGGACTAGGCACTGGTATTTTTTAAAGTAAGCTCTCCAGGTGGTTCTAATATATAGTGAAAATTGCAAACCAAGACCTTCATTTATGAAAACCAGTAGTACCCCAAATTATCTGAAAGGACTGATCTGCTCTGAACAGTGATTGGGGTAATGAAACAATGAACAGAAACAGTGATTCTCTGATCAGTGAAAGACAAGGGTGGAAGTTAATGAGAGAGATACAAAGAAATGAAGAACAAAATAAAGAACTGTTTAGCCCAGGGGCAGCAGATGTAAAGGCACGACATACTGGGCTCCTTCTGTAATCTCCAACATGGCTGAAGACCCCCCTGGGCTTTAGTTCCTCCGCTATTAAGTAAACACACCAGCTTCTCTCATCTGTATGGGTTTCCCTGGCGGCTCAGACAGTAAAGAATCCTCCTGCAATGCAGGAGCCTAGGATCGATCCCTGCAGGCGGGAAGATCCCCTGGAGAAGGACATGGCAACCCACTCCAGTATTCTTGCCTGGAGAATTCCATGGACAGAGGGGCCTGGAGGGCTGCAGTCCATGGGGTCGCCAAGAGTCAGACTGAGCAACTAATGCTTTCACTTTTCTCTCGTCCATAAGAAACTTCTGAATGGAACCATTGTGCCTGCTACTTCAGAAGAGCAGAGAGTTGAAGACCACAGCTCTGGGGCCCTCTGCCTGGGTTCTAATCCTAGAACCCAGAAGGTTCTACCACCTTCTTGCTGTGTGACCTTGGGCAAGTCCATTAACTCCTGTTTTCCATCTGTTCAATTGTGAGAATAATAATGTCTACCTGTTGTGGTGACTCACTGGAAGATACTTAGTAGAGGCCAAGTACAGAGTAAATGCTAGCTATTATTGTTGTTGTTGCTAATGTATGAAAAGCAAATGATCCACAGATTCTTGCCCTCCAGCAGTCAGAGCTAGCAACTGTGACAGACTGTCCCAGTTATCGTAAGATCCATGCAATCAGAGAGAGGTCAGAGGGAAGCCATAAAGGATACACATACAAAGCTATGAAGAGGTAGAAACCATGGACAAGGAAATCATTTGGGTGGTTACATGAGGAGTTTCTGTTCTATTGATAAAAAAAGTCAAATTAAGATAGGGTATAATAATAATCTCATGATCTCATGCATTGTGCCCTCCCCCCACTTCCAAACATTAAAACATAATTTTTTTTTTTTTACCTCATCTCTATGTCCCATAAAGCGATATCATCACTGATCCAGGGATTGGACGGCTCAGCTGGTGTGATCAAAGGGTCATATTCCATGTACTGTTCCGTGTAAGCAATTAAGCTGCAGGAGGAAAGCAGAGCAAAGAATACCACCAATTTCCTATAACAACAGGTATTCTGTTTAACACAAACATCATATCAGTCTCCATTTTAACTTTTGTTCTTTTGTTTGGTTTCTTTTGTTTTGGTTTCTTTTCTCTCTGGAAGCTTAAGAGTCATCTCTTTATTGCTGTAGTGCTTTCAAATTTCCCCATGACCCTTGCTGGTAGTTTTTATTTACTGTACACAATGGGCAATCAATAGATAAAATATATATATATACACATAGATATATTTCCCAGAAATCTCATGGTATGTCTTTGGTAATTTCATAACCTTCATCTCCTTGGTTTTCTCTTTTTATAATTCTTTTAAATTAAATGTTGGAATTGATAATCCAATATTCCTAAATTTTCTCTGTTTTATTCTCTTGTCTTCTTGTCTAATGGTTCTTCTGAAATTTTCTTTATTTTTTCCATTATGGACTGTCACTTTCTTACATTTCCAGAGTTCACTCTTGTTTATCATAGTAGCTAGTTCTTGTTTTATGAATGAAATATCTTCTTAGGTTTCTGGGGATATTGTGTGCTCAGTCATTCAGTCATGTCTAGGGGCTTCCCTGGTGGCACAGAGGTTAAAGCATCTGCCTGCAATGCAGGAGACTTGGGTTCAATCCCTGGGTTGGGAAGATTCCCCTGGAGAAGGAAATGGCAACCCACTCCAGTATTCTTGCCTGGAGAATCCCATGGATGGAGGAGCCTGGTGGGCTACAGTCCACGGGGTCACAAAGAGTCAGACACGACTGAGCGACTTCACTTTCACTTTCAGACTGTAGCCCACTAGGCTTCTCTGTCCATGGAATTTTCCAGGCAAGAGTATTGGAGCAGGTTGCCATTTCCTATTCCAAGGCATCTTCGCAACCCAGGGATCAAACCTGAGTCTCTTGCACAGGCAGGCAGATTCTTTACCTCTGAGCCACCAGAGAAACCCCAAGTAGTGGTAGACAAACTTGTTCTGCAAGACCGAAACAGTAAATATTTTATGCTTGGCAGACCAGATGGTGTCTGTTGCAGCTACTTGGCTCTTCTATTATGACACAAAAGCAGCTACAGATAATTTGTGAATAAATGTGTGTGACTGTGTTCCAATAAAACTTTATTTGCAAACACAGGGAGTGGAGTGGAATGGATTTGGCCTGTGTGTTAGTTAGTTAGCAGTCTCTTGCCTATGGGCATCTACATCTGGCTCCTGAGAGCAGGGCATGGGAGGGGTCAGGGGTCCCACATCCTGTATGCCACTCACTCAGTAATTCTCTTGCTTTCAGATGTGATGAAAGCAAGATGATGTGATGTGTCCGAGTTCTGAGCTAATGGGACTCAATTTCTCGAGAGAATAAAGTGCCTACCTCCTGTGTTGTTGTTAGTGGGGAGAGAGGGTCTCTTTGTGGGCTTGGAATCACAGATCCAAAAGCTCCGGAAACTGACTACCTATTCCTCGAGGGTTACCCCCATGCCTCCTTGCCTCCCAGTCTTGGGTGCCTTCAAGAACCAAAGCCAGATTTTGTTGGGCAGACTGGTTTTGTTATAATTCTCCCACCCCTAACAAGGAGGTCATAATGTTCTTCATTCTGTCCCCATTCAATTTCTTTTTTATTAAATTTTGAAACATTTCTGGCATAAAATTATAAGAGCATCACCCTTGAACTCACCACCCAATAAAAAGAAACACAATATCACAAACAGAGACAGAAGCCTGTGGTCATGCTCCTTAATTCCATACATTTGTGATCTTGGGAAAATGTGTGGAAATCGTTCATTCACTCATTTGTTAAGCTTGTGAGTTTATACTCTTTTTATTCCTTTACTGACATGTTACTTTTGGGGAGAGAGAGAAGAAAAATATTTGTCCACAATATTATTGGTATCTTAAATGAATTTATTATAACTTATGTAATCATTTCCTTTATATTAGACATAGTCTTTTTCTTTATTTAGTATACATAGTTCTGTCTATAATAAAACACCATTGTTCACATAAGTTTTTCCGTCTTTTAGGTTATTTATTTAGAATTAATATCCATAAGTGGAATTATTGCACCAGCAGGTATAAATCTTTCTATGGTTATCAATCCACAATAAAACTTGCCCGTAAGCATTGCCATCTTGAGTGTCACCAGCGTCCACTGTAATGGCAGATTCAGAGTCAAAATTTCTGCTACTGAATTGCAAAGAGCAGGCGCGGCCAAGTAGCTTACTTCTGAGAATGTGAAGAAATTCACTGGCAGCTCCATCTCATTGCTACTCAAAATGTGGTCCATGAAGCACAGCACAGGCATCACCTGGGAGCTTGTAAGAAATGCAGAAGCTCAGGCCCCACCCAGACCTACTGAGTCAGAATCTGCATTGGTAATAAGACCACCAGGTGAACGAAATGCACGTAAAAGTTTGAGAAGCACCACATCCGGTTCTTCAATGTCCTGAGAGGTTCAGGATGTTTTATTCATCAAACGAAGATGAAGGAGCCTGTGATACTTTTAGTTTTAAACGCACTGTCTCATGCACGGACTGTAACCCCACGGGGTGGGAGGAGCAGTGGACCGAATTGAAAAGCTTTGGTTTTTAGTTCTTTGGTGAGCCATTGAACTGATCTTGTTGAGTTCGGGGATGCCCTGATGGCTCAGAGGGTAAAGAATCTGCCTGTAAAACTCCTAGAGGAGAACATAGGCAAAACACTCTCCGACATGAATCACAGCAAGATCCTCTATGACCCACCTCCCAGAATATTGGAAATAAAAGCAAAAATAAACAAATGGGACCTAATGAAACTTAAAAGCTTTTGCACAACAAAGGAAATTATAAGCAAGGTGAAAAGACAGCCCTCAGATTGGGAGAAAATAATAGCAAATGAAGCAACAGACAAAGGATTAATCTCAAAAATATACAAGCAACTCCTACAGCTCAATTCCAGAAAAATAAATGACCCAATCAAAAAATGGGCCAAAGAACTAAACAGACATTTCTCCAAAGAAGACATACAGATGGCTAACAAACACATGACAAGATGCTCAACATCACTCATCATCAGAGAAATGCAAATCAAAATCACAATGAGGTACTATTACACGCCAATCAGGATGGCTGCTATCCAAAAGTCTAGAAGCAATAAATGCTGGAGAGGGTGTGGAGAAAAGGGGACCCTCTTACACTGTTTGTGGGAATGCAAACTAGTACAGCCACTATGGAGAACAGTGTGGAGATTTCTTAAAAAACTGGAAATAGAACTGCCATATGACCCAGCAATCCCACTTCTGGGCATACACACTGAGGAAACCAGGTCTGAAAGAGACACATGCACCTCAATGTTCATCGCAGCACTGTTTATAATAGCCAGGACATGGAAGCAACCTAGATGCCCATCAGCAGATGAATGGATAAGGAAGCTGTGGTACATATACACCATGGAATATTACTCAGCCGTTAAAATGAATTCATTTGAATCAGTTCTAATGAGATGGATGAAACTGGAGCCCATTATAAAGAGCGAAGTAAGCCAGAAAGATAAAGAACATTACAGCATACTAACACATATATATGGAATTTAGAAAGATGGTAACAATAACCCTATATGCAAAACAGAAAAAGAGACACAGATGAATAGAACAGACTTTTGGACTCTGTGGGAGAAGGCGAGGGTGGGATGTTTCGAGAGAACAGCATGTATATTATCTATAGTGAAACAGATCACCAGCCCAGGTGGGAGGCATGAGAAAGTGCTCAGGCCTGGTGCACTGGGAAGACCCAGAGGAATTGGGTGGAGAGGGAGGTGGGAGTGGGGATCGGGATGGGGAATACATGTAACTCCATGGCTGATTCATGTCAATGTATGACAAAACCCACTGCAATGTTGTGAAGTAATTAGCCTCCAACTAATAAAAATAAATGAAAAAAAAAAAAAAGAATCTGCCTGTGATGAGGGGGACCTGGATTTGATCCCTAGGTCAGGAAAATCCCCTGGAGAAGGGAATGACAACCCACTCCAGTATTCTTGCCTCGTGAATTCCGTGGAGAGAGGAGCCTGGCAGGCTATAACGCAAGTTTGCCATATATTACCTAATAATGACCTTGATGAGCCCTCAGGACCTTTTGATAAGAAAATAGGAAAGCATTTCAAGAGTCCTCCAATTACCCCACAACTATAAGATAGATGCTTGCAACCATCACTGGCAGTGCACATCCACCGTCCTGTAAATCTCTTGCTGGTGGTACATTTTGTGTGGGCAAGGCTTCATCCATACAAGCTGTCCAGCATCTCAGATGAGAATGGACAGGCACGGGAGCTCTAACTGAGCACTCTGACAGCAGGATCAAGAGATGAGTTAGTGCTGTGACAGCTCCACGGGCAGGCATCCCTTTGCCACCTGGGCCAATCTCATGCTTCCTGAGGTGAACACATCCAGACAGAGAGGGTGATGCACTCCAATCCCACCGGGACAGGAGCTCCTGGGCTCGGGACCCTGCCTGACCTTCCCCTACATACCTCTTTGTCCAGCTGTTCACCTGTATCCTTTAATAAGCTGGTAAGTGAAAGTGTTCCCCTGAGTTCTGTGAGACACTCTGTAAATTAACCAAACCCAACAGAGGGGTCACGGGAACCGGTTTATAGCCAAGTCAGACAGCACCTGTGGGGAACCTAAGCCCATTACGACTGGCATCTGAAGTGGGGTGAGTGAAAGTCTCTCAGTTGTGTCCGACTCTTTGCAACCCCTTGGACTCTACAGTCCATGGAATTCTCCAGGCCAGAATACTGGAGTGGGTAGCCTTTCCCTTCTCCAGAGGGTCTTCCCAACCCAGGGATCAAACCCAGGTCTCCCGCATTGCAGGCGGATTCTTTACCAGCTAAGCCACCAGGGAAGCCCAAGAATACTGGAGTGAGTAGCCCATCCCTTCTTCAGGGGCTCTTTCCAACCCAGGAATCGAAACGGGTTCTCCTGCATTGCAGGCGATTCTTTACCAACTGAACTCT